CAGTTCCATACCTGAGGTGTTATCTAATTCGTATGCCAACACTACTACCCTCCTTGCCTGGTTTCAAAGCAATTCAAGGGACCCTCAGGGTCGTGATTTGACATACCCGGATTATCCAAAAAATTACAAATGGGATAAGTCGAGTAAATCTTGGGATCGGAGAGTCTATGAATCATCAAAAATGGTAGGCCGCATTGTATTCGTACACCCGACCTCTGGACAACTGTTCTATTTACGGATGCTACTGTGTCACCAGAAAGGATGTACGTCGTTTAAGGATTTGCGTACTGTAGCTGGAACTGTGTATCCAACTTTCAGAGCTGCCTTTCAGAGCTTCCTGTAATGCACTTCGATTAATAGGTGATGATGTTGAGTGCTTGACGTGTTTTACAGAAGCTGCAGCGTGGGCAACCGCATCACAACTACGATCCCTTTTCTGTCACCTCCTCCTTTTTTGTGAAGTTAGCAATCCGCTTCTGCTGTGGAACATTGCCTGCGATAGGATGAAAGATGACTACTTACATACCCTAAGCGCTGAGGTAGCAGATAAGGCAGTAACCTCTATGGTTGGGATTGTTGAAAAACAATTACTTCATGATTTAGATGACATGCTTCGGTCCGCTGTGCCATCTAAATCAATGAGAGACTTTGGACTTCCTGTTCCGTCAGTCGATGTCACTGGTGTTCTACGAAATCGCCTGCTATTGGAAGAAATGAGTTATGATAAGGAAGGGCTACGGAAACAACACAGTGACCTTATACCAAAACTAAATCGCCACCAACGATTAGTGTACATCAATGTTGTCTCTTCCATTGACAACAAAAAACAGGTACTAATATTTGTTTATGGACACGGTGGCACTGGTAAAACATTCCTATGGACGACCATTCTTTCCCATTAGAGATCTATGGGCAAAATCGCTTTGGCTGTTGCTGCGTCCGGAATAGCATCGCTTCTGTTACCGTCCGATACAACCACACACTCAAGGTTCAAAATACCTATTGATTTAAACAACAAAAAATCATGTGATATCAAAAAGCATACCCTCCTTGCGCGATCTTTTACAACGAACAACACTTATACTATGGGACGAAGCACTAATGAGTGATAGAAGATGCTTTGAATATTTGGACCGTTCACTTAGAGATGTGTTAGACTGTGACGAAAAACCATTTGGAGGAAAATCGGCCCTTCTTGGTGGTGATTTCCGTCAAACTCTACCCGTTGTACCACGAAGCACACGTTTAGAAATTATAGGGCTAACTATACCGAGTTCGTATTTATGGCCATATTTTAAAATTCAGTTTCTGCATATGAACATGAGACTTGAACCCTCTAATACAATACCCCACTCCTCAATGAAATTGTCTGACTTTGCCACATGGCTCCTAGCTATTGGTGATGGCCATATAGGTGTGCCTGACAAGGATGGCCCACGAGACTCAAGCTGGATAGAGATCCCATCTTCACTCCTAATATCACCTTCCCCTAATTCATTACAGACCTTAATAGATTTTGTGTATGGGGACGATACACTTAATCAGCCGACTGCGTCACAACTTTCAGCAAGAGCAATAGTTTGTCCCACAAACGACTCAGCGGACGAGATAAACTGTCAAGTTCTCAAAATGGTCACCACACCTGCCAGAGGGTATACAATAGTACTGACACCATGCAACCCAATGGAAAACACACATCAGATTTGGAAGACCTCTATCCAATCGAATATCTAAACCAACTAACTTTTCCAGGAATACCACCCCATGAGCTTCTACTTAAGGTCGAGTGCCCAATAATGCTTTTAAGAAACATAAATGAGAAGGAAGGTTTATGCAACGGTACCAGGTTGATTGTTTCATAATTGTTACCAACCGTTATTGAAGCAACGATCATAACGGGCACCTCGATCAGAAGACGTGTGTATATACCACACATAAAGTTCATACACAAGTCATCAGATTACCGTTCGTATTATCACGCAAACAGTTTCCAGTCAAAGTTTGTTACGCAATGACTATCAATAAGAGTCAGGGTCAATCACTACGTAAGATTGGAATCTATTTGTCACACCCCGTTTTTACGCATGGACAACTTTATGTTGCCCTCTCCCGAGCAACATCACTGGATTCGATAAAAATACTGCTAAACAACACTGAGACATGTAAAACCAACGAAACAAAAATGTCGTTTACAGATATTTACTACATAAAGTTACTTCAACAGAGATCTACAGTATCACCCCCTGTCCAGCTTTTGAACATCATTACTACTTTTCATTTTATTCATATACAATTTTTTTATTTACAGAATTCCTACTTATTTTTTTAATTTTATATTCACATTCAAATATAGAGCTTACCTATATACAATTTTTTATATTAAGGAACACAAACAGCAAATGACGAGAATTTCTAAGCTCAAAGCTGAGGGTATTGGAGGCCCCTTACAGGTTAGAATACTATGCAAATGGAAACACGATATCCGACAATACGAAACCGGGTACCTGGCTGTCGACAAATACGTAAGTTCACACGAGAATACATCATCACAAAAACAGGTTAAAAATTCTAATTATTAGTCAGATGAAACATGTACCAACGAGAAATTTAAATTTGTAGAAAGTAGACCCTTAATAATCACTTATCAGTATTTACAAAAAGCAATAGGTTTCTTGCCCAAATAAACACGTGTTCTCAACAGATGATGCAATTATACAAAAACAAAAACACAAGTAATACCATTGAATCTAATGTAAAGATAATATCTTTCTACAGGCAGATGCAATCCAAATTCTTGGACAAGTGATATGTGTATTTTTATATATATTTTTATGCATTATATTTTAATATTTTGGCCTTTACTATTCTCTATTAGAACTAAAAAGTACTTATAATGCTTTAAATTATGTTTTTAAGCTATTCGTTGACGATAAACCACAAAAGAAAAGACTGAAGCGGAAATTGGGCTTAGAGGCTAAAAGAAAGGAAAAATGCTGGAGGAGCCATTTACGCCCCGCGTACTGAACTTGTAGGCCAAGCGTAATGGCTAAATTAGAGTTACGCCCAGCGTAATCTTCATTTACACCCCGCGTTACGGCTGGCATCAGATAACTCCAGTCGCGTAATAATCTTCAGTACGCCCAGCGTAATCCGACATACGCCCAGCGTACGTAATTCGGTTACAAGGGTTATAAAAGTCGATTATCAGCTAACCAAAAGGGGAGATTCGACTTCTAACCTAATTTAGTCGATAATTAACTTCTGTTAAGCCGTTTTGAGGGTCTAGAAGGCGGTCAGAAGGCCGTTAAGCTAACGGGAGCGGAGATCGGAAGGATTGGAGAGCAGATACATGTCGGTAATCATATGGGTTGTTAACGTGACCATGTTTAGCATTCCATTGAGATACTATTATATGTTTAGTTTCTGATTTAGGTGTAAAAACCTTTTACTTTGAGTTTATGATTAAATAAAACGTTGATTATTGGAATAATTGCTATATTGAATTGTTTGTTTATGTTTAATTTATCTTGCCAAGCTTGTTAAAAGATCCTTATGTGTTAATGATAATTATTTGCTGTTAATTGCCAAGTAAATTGAGTTGTATGAACATCTGCTTGATTGCTTGTCTCTTATGATTTTGATGACCATCGAGATTATAAGTCTACGAATAACGAATGTGAAACTAGGATTAACTTGGGAATAAGTAAGTTAATGTGTGAGCCTTGTTTGATGACCATCAACAAGAGGTTAATTGATTAGTAATTTGATTAACTATTATTACAAGTCTTGCTTGATACGAACTGAACACTAGGAAGCATGTTAGTTTAATCAACTGATCACTATTTGAATTGACTTGTTTGCTAAATGATTAGTTATAGTGAACGCGAATCTAATCATTTTAGGAATCGGTGAACATGAATAAATGAATTTGTGTATGCAATTGTCTATGCTTTTAAGATGTAATTTATCTAAACCAAAGTACCTGAAGAGATTTGTTTTCCTGTTAATTTATCAAGAATTGTTAATTAATTGTTAGTTTGAAATTCAATAACCATTTCTTTATTTCTTGCGTGTGTCTTACAACCTATAATCAAATACTTTAAATTAATTCACCACCGTTCCCTATGATCGACACCCGACTTACCTAAGCTATACTGTAATCTGACTAGGTACACTGCCTATAAGTGCATAGTTAGTCTAAGTTTGTTAGGTTATAAATATTAAAATTAGTGGGTACTTCCGTGCACATCAAGTTTTTGGCGCCATTGCCGGGGAACGTCTTGTCATTAATTTAGTTTATTTGATTATTCATTATTTGTTTTTAGTTAGTTTTTATTTGATTTTTGTTGACATCATTTCACTTGTCGGGAAGGTTCTTGTTGTTATTTGCAGGAATTTGGGATCATACACATTGTTTGACTTTACTTTTTGCATGGGTTTCGAGAATGCAAGCGATTAGGGAATTCTTGACCTGCTTAGCCTACTACTTTGTTGATTTGTCCAACTCAATCCATGAGACGTAGTATAGCAAGGCGTACTGTGGTGGTTAAGTGGAAGACCGAGCTCTTGCTGTTCTTGACTAGTTAGGTCACTTCTTGTTCTACTTTTAGTTAAAGGTGTGAAGAAAACAAAGGAAATATTCTAACGGGTCCCGAAAGTGGTTGTTTTCACAAACCAGTTCTTGCGTGCAAAGGTTTTTGATCAACCGTTGTTGTTTGATCTCGACAAAGACAAGTGATTATGACGTCTCATTTTTTTTATGTCACTCATCGGGAAGTCATGGCTGTTGTTGAAGCAATCAAAAAAGAAAAATAATTAATTATAATTATAAGTCCCCAAATTAATTAGTGGAAAAAGGAATTTCAAATAAGGAAAAGGAAATGTTTCATTTAAAATTACGCCCAGTGTAATTTTAATTACGTCAAGCGTAATAAACCATTGATCGCGGATGGCCTTTTCACGGAGTTGGGGTTACGGCCAGCGTAAATCGACGACAGATTATGGCCCGAAGAACTCAAAGGACCAACCCACCTGAGGACGTGACCGATCACCGTTTCTTACAATTTCCTCAAACTCTGAACGATGCAACCCGGGCACGATATGTCAACAATTTGAGTTTGCTGCTTACTAAGGAGATCGACATAGGACCTTCATTTGACTGGGAATTGGCGACCCAGAATGGACTTGCTGTGTTGATTCAGGATTTTTTGCAATACACGCACTCGGACGCGAGTAGAGTGCCTTTGTTCGTATGTCAGGAATGGGCACGATTGTTCAGGATCCAGGCGCCTGTTTATTGGGAATTTTTGCTGGTGTTTTACGCTACAGTTTCCTATGAACCTAGGAAGGCACCCGATGATAGGACAACTTTTTCCTTCAGACTTGGGGGTGTGAGCCAGGAGTGCTGTGTCATAGAGCTGGCGACTCGAGTGGGGATATACACAACAGATGAGACGAGGAGTGTCCACTTCCCGGTATTCCTTGCTGATTGTCTCACGGACCGGCCAAATGACTATAACGAAAACACTTTTTGGGCCGAGATTACAGGGGGAGTATACACGCCATATACTGCACGGGGGAGGATGATTTGATCTACTACGTACAGACTGCTGCACTGTTTGATTTCCATGTCTCTCACGCACCATAAGAACAGTGAGAGAGTGCCTTCGACAGATTTGTATATCCTATGGGCACTTGTTACTCCAGGGAGGCACCTGAACCTTCCAGTTGCTTTAGCCGCATATTTAGGTAGGAGGGCCAGGGGACTTCGGGAGGATAGCCCAATTTGCGGGGGGGCATTTTATCACGCGATTAGCTCAATCATATCAGCTGTTGACGCGTGAGATCACGAGATCGATGGTGTTGCATGATATGAGGCCGATGAGCCTTCAGTTGTTAGAGTCGATGCGTGTACTTGAGCGAGGCGGAGATGGTGTCTTGCGGGTACGACCAGATGATGTGGCGGATGAGGAGGGTGCCGTTGAGCCACAACCGAGACGGGTCCAGCGGCGTAGACCTGCTCCTCGAGGAGCGCATCAGGGACCTGAGCCCGGAGATTGGTATGCGCTACCTAGCTCAGCGCATTGACCGTATTGACATAGGGGTGCAGAACCTTGGTGGATATGTTGCACATGTGGAGAGACAACAACAGTGGTATGGGTATGCGTTGACCGCGTTCTTTGCCCACCAGGGGTTTCAGTACTCGGTTCCCTTCCCTCCACCATTCCAGCCACGACATGATGGGGCCGGTACTTCTGGGACACAACAACATGATGACGGGGATGATGAGTTATTTAGTTATCCTTTTTATTTTTTATTGTGTTATTTTTAGTTTATATTTGCTTAGTATTAGTATTTTTATTTGGTATGTAATTAATTTTAATTTAGGGTGTTTTACTTTTGTTTTCCATGTTGATGCTCTTTGGTTGTTTAGATCTCTGTAGAATTTTCGCCCTTAGAAAGCTGGCAGTAAGTTCAGCAGCTAGGTCCGACTGTTGCCAGAGAGAGTCGTGTGAGAGTTCGAAGATTATAGTCAAGACCCACAATTTGTCATAAGTGTGGGGTGCATATTGATTTCGCGATTATTTAGAAGAGTGACACTTTATTCTCTTATATATGGATGAGCTGTTTCCACGCCATGGAGTTTTATTTCAACGCAAGGAAGAAGTATCATCCCGGCTGCCACGACATGGTTGACACTTTCCTATGTTGTGGGGGATTTTTCATCGTGAGAAAAGGATGTCATTCTTGACGAGACTGATGGGTTTTATCATAAGACATCCTATGTGCTCATATAAACCCTAATGCTTGGATCTAGGTTTCTCTATTGTACATGCTTTGAATCCAAGACTATAAACCCTAATTCTAGCATATGGAAATCGATATTAACATATAATTAGGTGTAAGATGTTACCTTGATTGTTATGTAGCAATAACAATCCCAATTCCACCTTGAATTGACTTTGGAAGGCTTAGAGTCACAAGTGTCACTCCTCTAATGGTTCACAAACACCATCAGCAAGAGGATGAAGAGGAGAGATGATGAAGGCTACCAAAAAACGTGTAGAAACCCTTACAAGAAGCTTGGCCACGTTTTTTAGCCTTAAGGGGTCTTTATATAGTTGGGCTATTAGGGTTATCTAACAAGGAAACCCTAATTTGGATGCTTAAGCCCTAAGCAACCCATAGACTTCTTTTAATCAAGCCCTTGGACGATTTCCTTATGGGCTTCCCCATAGAATTCGTCCAACCCTTGATACAAGGCAATCCATGGCCCAAATTGCAATTATCTTATAATTACAATTCCAGTCCCTTAAGTTTAATTAATCTCTTTTAGTCACAAAACTAATTACTAATTAATTATTGACTAATATTAATTAAACAATATGATTTCTCCTTTAATATATTATTCTATTAATAAATCATATTTAATCCTTTTTCTCCATAATTCATCCTATCAAGTTGCTTTGGTGAAGGCAACCCAAAAGGACCATGCACCATCGGGTCAAGTACATACCAAAATAGTTATGGACTTAGACACTAATCCAACAGTCTCCCACTTGGATAAGTCTAATAACTATTCTGCGTATGACTTCAGATCCTGATCTGCAATCGTAGCTTTCCAAAGCCGCTGTCAACTCTGATCCTATCAGATACGCGTGTCCTTAAGATAAGGGATCATATATTCCTCCATTCTAGATATCGTAAGACATGATTTCTAATCATTCTCTTTGTACTATTTCTCGATCTCCGATTTATGACGACTGACTAATTGAACAAATCAAATTAGCCCTAGCCCGGCCGAGCATTTACGTTTGTCATCACTAAATCATCGAGGGGCCCAAAGATATCGCTTTTATCCTTCTTTGGATAAAAGGAACGGATAAACTTTGATACAATGCTTGCTTGCACTCACTAACCAATCACACACAACAATATGTTTTATAACACCAAGTTACTAGTGCGTTTACATATTATCAATGTGCAACCGATTGCAAGATACAACTCACACATCTCGGTTTCAAGAATATAAGATGTTATCGTCTCACCAATCACTCGTGATACAATTCATGGAGTGATCCAAGTGAGCGTGGGTTTAATCCAATGCTCAAATTCATATTCATAAGCACTCATGAACGTTGCAGCAAACATTTGCTTATGTCTAATACTCTTTTAGACAATCCACACACCAATTCACGACAGTCTTCATTCATATCTACTTCCAACATATGAACGACTGTGGCCGTTTGAATAATTCGATTATTCTTAATAAACTCAATTATTCTGGAAGTCAAAACATGCAGAGTGAAACACAAGAATAATACTAATCCCATATGGCCTCAACCCTTTGAGCATAAATAAAACACCTTTTATTTATCACCATATCGATTACTCATTATTTGTCGTTTCGGATAATTAACTTCTTACTTGAATTATTACACTTGTCCCATGCTCCTAACATGCACACAATTTTTACCTATGGTTCTTACTTTGTGAAATAGATCACATTGGACACATTTCCAATCATTCTCATTTCACAACTCCAAATCCGTTTTTCATAAGTTTAAGAATATCAAATTCTTGCCACTTATCGAATATGCTAGATTCTAACATTTTATGCAATGATTCTTTGGTAATGTCACTGAACCAAAGTCACAAAGACTATTGCCAATGATATTACAAAGTCCTCTAACGGAGATTGTTACAAGACAATTCCTTAGATATGATGTCTCTCACTTAAGGTACATTCCTTTGAACATCCTTTTGCATAAAAGTTTCTAATCTAGTCATAGATTCTCAATATTCAATTCCTAATATGGACACGCTTCCATATTTTCCATATGACAACTCATTCTTAATAGAATCTTATCTATTCATAATAATGTCAATATGGTCCATCCAATACCATGCTTCCAACTACTCTCAAGCAACCAATCCTCGTCGAACGTTGGATTGTCCTTTGATAGTTGTTTCATTATTTTGGTCAAAACCAATTCTAGTCCCTTTTCCCTCTAAATGCGCTAGACATTTGGAAAATTTTAGAATGGTCAAACATTAAAGCATTTGTAATCGATCCTATACTCGAAGCGTATGGGACCCGATGCACAATGTTTATTTGCTATGTTCTCAAAATTCGAATTGTGAAAAGGAATTCTGTAATCATAATCGAAATTTTAAGAACACACTATGTACCTTTGACTAAATTTATTAACATTTCTCAACCTAAGAAAATAAAGCATAATATTCTCTCCCTTAATTATAGCAAAACAACTTTACAACCTTTACGACTTTGCAAGGTATAACTCTTGTTTTCTATAATTAATATTGCCAACTTGCAATACGTACCTTAATAATCATACAATCATAACATTTATGCTCCCACTATCATGATGATTATTATAAAACATAACACTTATGCTCCCACTAGCTTCGACATGTATTCACAAACATCTTAACTTTCAGAAAACAATACCTATTGAATTTCTTAAGTCCATGTTTCTAATACTTAATGCTTTGATAATCTTTTATCAAGGCCTCTTAAGCTTATATTACCTTTTCTTTAGATAGTTCATATGTGTGTCTAAACTATTAAGACTAATTGCCAAACCTCACAATTCAAATCATGGAAAGGGATAGCGTAACCATAATTGAATTTGAGAATGCAACTTTACAATCACTATCTTCTTAAAAATCTTTCTTAGTGAAAGCATTTCCTCACAATCATTTTCATGAAGGAGGAAATCTTATGACACTTAGATTTTAATGGTGTATATGTTCCTATCCATGTGAATTTGTTAAAAACAAAGTTTATGACAAATTCAAACTCATATGGACCGGACTTTCTTAATCTTGATTTCTTGCCTTATGGTAGCACAGCTGCCCACCACGTCTTCCAAGTAGTTAAGCAGCTCACCTTTTCCTATCAATGTACCTTTCATTGATTCAGGTGCCTTGCCTTTTATGCGTTCAAAATGAGAACTCATAGGACTCACATGCATAATTAACTCAATTGGAACATCACAAAATCAAAATATTGTCAACACGATAGATTGTAAACCTCAACTCGTGTGCTAGTGATGATCGATAAGGTTTATTTGATTTGTTCTTGAAACCTTTCAAGACCATTAAGACTACCACTTACTACTTGACATATAAGATTCTTTTGTCAATAAACATTTCTTGACAAACAAATTTTCAAGAGTTAGTGTAGCTTGTATCAAAACACTTCATAAATTGGTCCTAGTTGGCCTTTGTCTTATCCAAGACATCACAACTTTCCACATTTGATGAATGTTGTAAACCTTTAATACTTTTCACTCATTGTCTCAATCTTAACTTTAAGACTTGTTATTGGAACGAAGTATGATAGACTTCTTGATTTAACCATTTCTTCAATCCTTGATTCCTTCTTAAACATACAATTGTACTAAGACTCACTTAGAGGATCAATTGAGATATGGTTCTTAATCATTAAGACCCATTATAAAGCATAAAAGCTACTCTCCCTTCTTCTTAGAATGGAGAGACTTCTATCTTTCTACCTACTTGATTCTTCTTATTCGCTTTGCTACTGATTTTAACCCTTTTAATT